GATCGCCTCATGTTCCTGTGACGCAGGCTGGTGTCTCGGAATATTAAAGCACCTCTCGCTGATATAGTTTGAAAGGAGATCACCTCATGTTCCTGTGACGCAGGCTGGTGTCTCGGAATGTTAAAGCCCCTCTCAATGATCAATTCTGAAAGCAGATCGCCCCATGTTCCTGTGACGCAGGCTGGTGTCTCGGAATGTTAAAGCACCTCTCAATGATCAATTCTGAAAACAGATCGCCCCATGTTCCTGTGACGCAGGCTGGTGTCTCGGAATGTTAAAGCACCTCTCAATGATCAAATCTGAAAGCAGATCGCCTCATGTTCCTGTGACACAGGCTAGTGTCTCGGAATGTTAAAGCCCCTTTCAAAGATCCATTCCTAAAGCAGATCGCCCCATGTTCCTGTGACGCAGGCTGGTGTCTCGGAATGTAAAAGCCCCTCTCAAAGATCCATTCCTAAAGCAGATCGCCTCATGTTCCTGTGACACAGGCTGGTGTATCGGACTTTTAAAGCACCTCTCGCTGATATAGTTTGAGAGGAGATCACCTCATGTTCCTGTGACACAGGCTGGTGTCTCGGAATGTTAAAGCCCCTCTCAATGATCCATTCTGAAAGCAGATCGCCCCATATTCCTGTGACACAGGCTGGTGTCTCGGAATGTAAAAGCCCCTCTCAATGATCCATTCTGAAAGCAGATCGCCCCATGTTCTTGTGACGCAGGCTGGTGTCTCGGAATATTAAAGCCCCTCTCGCTGATATAGTTTTAAAGGAGATCACCTCATGTTCCTGTGACACAGCCCTGTGTCTCGGAATGTTAAAGCACCTCTCAATGATCCATTCTAAAAGCAGATCGCCCCATGTTCCTCTGACACAGGCTGGCTTCTGGGAATGTCAAAGCACCTCTCGCTGATATAGTTTGAAAGGAGATCACCTCATGTTCCTGTGACACAGGCTGGTGTCTCGGAATGTTAAAGCCCCTCTCGCTGATATAGTTTGAAAGGAGATCACCTCATGTTCCTGTGACGCAGGCTGGTGTCTCGGAATGTTAAAGCCCCTCTCAATGATCCATTCTGAATGCAGATCGCCCCATAATCCTGTGACACAGGCTGGTGTCTCGGAATAGTAAAGCACCTCTCGCTGATATAGTTTGAAAGCAGATCACCTCATGTTCCTGTGACACAGGCTGGTGTCTCGGAATGTTAAAGCCCCTCTCAATGATCCATTCTGAAAGCAGATCGCCCCATATTCCTGTGACACAGGCTGGCTTCTGGGAATGTCAAAGCACCTCTCGCTGATATAGTTTGAAAGGAGATCATCTCATGTTCCTGTGACGCAGGCTGGTGTCTCGGAATATTAAAGCACCTCTCGCTGATATAGTTTGAAAGGAGATCACCTCATGTTCCTGTGACACAGCCCTGTGTCTCGGAATGTTAAAGCACTTCCCAATGATCCATTCTGAAAGCAGATCGCCCCATGTTCCTGTGATGCAGGCTGGTGTCTCGGAATAGTAAAGCACCTCTCGCTGATATAGTTTGAAAGGAGATCACCTCATGTTCCTGTGACACAGCCCTCTGTCTCGGAATGTTAAAGCACTTCCCAATGATCCATTCTGAAAGCAGATCGCCCCATGTTCCTGTGACGCAGGCTGGTGTCTCGGAATGTCAAAGCACCTCTCAATGATCCATTCTGAAAGCAGATCGCCCCATGTCCCTGTGACGCAGGCTGGTGTCTCGGAATATTAAAGCACCTCTCGCTGATATAGTTTGAAAGGAGATCACCCCATGTTCCTGTGACGCAGGCTGTTGTCTCGGAATTTTAAAGCACCTCTAAATGATCCATGCTGAAAGCAGATCGCCTCATGTTCCTGTGACACAGGCACGTGTCTCGGAATGTTAAAGCCCCTCTCAATGATCTATTCTGAAAGCAGATCGCCCCATGTTCCTGTGACACAGGCTGGTGTCTCGGAATGTTAAAGCCCCTCTCGCTGATATAGTTTGAAAGGAGATCACCTCTTGTTCCTCTGACACAGGCTGGTGTCTCGGAATATTTAAGCACCTCTCGCTGATATAGTTTGAAAGGAGATCACCTCATGTTCCTGTGACGCAGGCTGGTGTCTCGGAATGTTAAAGCCCCTCTCAATGATCCATTCTGAAAGCAGATCGCCCCATGTTCCTGTGACGCAGGCTGGTGTCTCGGAATATTAAAGCACCTGTCGCTGATATAGTTTGAAAGGAGATCACCTCATGTTCCTGTGACGCAGGCTGGTGTCTCGGAATGTTAGAGCCCCTCTCAATGATCCATTCTGAAAGCAGATCGCCTCATGTCCCTGTGACGCAGGCTGGTGTATCGGACTTTTAAAGCACCTCTCGCTGATATAGTTTGAAAGGAGATCACCTCGTGTTCCTGTGACACAGGCTGGTGTCTCGGAATGTTAAAGCCCCTCGCAATGATCCATTCTGAAAGCAGATCGCCCCATGTTCCTGTGACGCAGGCTGGTGTCTCGGAATGTCAAAGCACCTCTCGCTGATACATTTTGAAAGCAGATCACCCTATGTTCCTGTGGCCACAACCATGCTTGTAGTGATGACTGCCGTCACGCCAATTACTCTTACTCCAGCTAAATTATTTTTTGTTTGTCAATTTAAATTTCTTTTTCATTTCAACTATCATTTAATTGGTATAGTAGGAATGTAATAGGGGAGTTTGGTGATTTTCCGTCAGTCTACAAGCTCGAACCAATCAGATTCATCTGTGAGATCCGGTCAGTCGTATTAAATCTTTTCAAAATCCGTATTAAATCTTTTCAAAATTGAGATTTGATGGCATTCCCAAAGACATAAACCATACCATAAACGTGGCTACATTTTGGGGTTAGAGGGTAAATTTCAAGATTCTTGTAATGGCGCATCCACACTGACCATTCGTGACCAACTCGTGTTGTTCCGGGACAAGTCGAATAGCTACTCGTGCTCCTCTCGTGGCCATCTACGCCTGGGTGCCGGCTAAGCGCAAACGGGCATAGCTAAAAGAATTGTCAAGTCGTTGGTAGTGATTCACTTATAATCCCCTCATGTATCATATATATTCCAGATGCTATTAAAACACATCGGGACTTATGATATCATATAGTATGATTGGACACATTTAATTGTATCTTGGGTTTTAGATGCAAGACATATGTAAAACCACAAATTAGTCCTGATGGATTCTTTGACCGAAGTACTTGAAGTCATACGCGCATTCAGATTGGTTTGTTCCACTTTCGCACATAACATTCATTGATCGGGGGACGAGTCGTCTTGTAGGTTACGGAAAGGGGCGAGTGGTGACGAATGAGCAGCAATGTTACTATTCGGCTTGTCCCGGAATAACACGAGTTGGTCACGAATGGTTACCGAGAGTGTAAAGGGGCTCTCACACTTTGCCGAGTTGCGTCCCGAGTATGGACCCGAGCTGACTCGGGGGTACTTGTATGGAGCTCGTAGCGAGGTCGTAATAAAACTCGGGGTAACTCGTACTGATCTACGAGAGTTTTGGAATTGCTCAAAACAGCCGGGTCGCCAGCCAACTCCTAAGAAACTCGTAACACACTCGTCCTACTCATAGTACCCTCGTGGCGACCTCGAGCTCGTGGTGCTCGTACAGAACTCGTATGAGGATCGTCTTGAAAATTTATTGCCGAGTTGACCGAGTCTAATACGAACAATACGAGTGTAATTCCCGCCGAATTATTCAGCAACTCGTAGCCACCTCATACCAAAGTCGTACCAAACTCGCACTAAACTCGTACAGCTCGAATCGAGATCGTTGTGCTCGTTTGCAGCTTTTAATCGACCCTTATTAGACTCCTATTGGACTCCTATGGGGCTCGTAACACACTCGTAGCGCACTCGTACTCGAATCACAAAGGAGGTACCCGTGGTGTATTTTCAAAATGGCTTCATGATTTACTGGCGAGGTAATGATTTGATTTATTTATCTGGATGAATTGCAAAGTACATTTTCTGAAAACAAAGCAGTATTTTGTAGATATACAAGGTAAGGTTACATTGTGTATGTGTTCAAATCCCATGGCAAATCTTAATGACAGCACTGAAATTTACGGGGTGCCTGCTAAAACGGCACCTCAGCAAAACGTCACCGGTTTCTCGGGCGAAAACGGCTACTAATTGTCGGGCGAATACGGCACCTCTGTTTTTGGTAACGATAAGAACGATTTATATAGTATTTATATTTATGTTTTCCTTGGGCATGATACGGTCTGTTATCCGCTGACACATTCTTGTGATGTCGGCTGCCGTCAGAAAGGGGAGATATATATGAAATATCTATGGAAATTACTATTTATTTCCTACTTACTAATTTAAATATTAAATAAAGTATATCTGAAGTCCAATTTGTTGAGATTTCCGCCAGACTCAGTTTCACCTTGACATTGAGTTAATTTGTGTAAAACTAATCAAAGCGTGTGATTTTTTCACAATACATTTGGCTAATTTCTGATGTAAACTTGTTTAAAAGCGATTAACAAGTCTTAATGTAAGTGACCATGCGAGTTAAATTTCATTTATTTTACTTTAAAGAATGTTATGTTTTCACAATAAGTTTAGTTGCGCCTCCCAATCAGAGTCGGCGAGTATTTCAGTACCAAGGTTAAAAAAAAAATAAGGTGGCGTTTTTGCCAGGCAATAGTAGCCGTTTTCTCTTTAAGCGAGGTTACGTTTTCGGCAATCGGTGCCGTTTTCGCTCGGTGACGGTTTGCTGAGGTGCCGTTTTAGCTATAACACAGCGATGGCTACAATTTCGAATTTATTTCAGCTACGTTCAGACACAACTTGTGAAGTACAGAACCATTCGTCACCACTCGCCCCTTTCCGTAACCTGCCATTCGTCACCTATCGCCCCTTTCCGTAACCTGCAAGAAGCTATTCGGCTTGTCCCGGAATAACACGAGTTGGTCACGAATGGTAACCAACATTCGGCTTGTCCCGGAATAACACGAGTTGGTCACGTATGGAATGGTACAGAACCCAATATTTTACGACGTTTCACCTAATTCTCAAAAAGGGGAGGTAACTCTATAACAGCTGTAGCTCCTCGCAGCGACGGTTGCGAATACCATCGTATGCTCGATGCACTCACGTGAATTGTCAACCCGCTGTACTGAGTATGCATAGCTTTCGCATATCGAAAAGTAAACAACGCTAATGTCTTCACTTGTGGTTACATTTCAACGAGCCAACTGTTCCGACATTTATTAGACTGCCGACAAATTGTGCGATCTGGATGATCAGCCATGCTATTGCTGCGCGCTTCTATGACTGTCAGTTTCAGACGGCGGATTCGCAGCTGCACGAGAGTGCGCATTGCGGGGATACACTCTCTCTCCGGAAACTGATCACACAGGACGTTTACAAAGACCAGATTGACAAGAGGAATCATCTGGGATGTACACCGCTCAGACTGTCAGCCACAGGTAAAATATTACAAACTGTAGCATTCCTACAAAACTTGCTCCAGGCCCCTCGTGCACTGTATGTTAATGTGACTTCAGATCCACCACAGTAAATTTGTTTATTTGTTGTTTAACCCTCTGGATGCCGAGTTTTTTTTCTGACGTACATTTTCCTAAGATCGGAAAAGTGAAGGTTGTGCGAGAATTGCGCTCACGCGGCACTGGATCTACCTCTGGCTATAAAATTACGCAGAGATGAAGAATATGAAATTTCCTATTTGATGGTGTAAATTTAACTGTAAATATCAAACCGGTTTACAAAAAAAGACACTCCTAAGTGTTGTCCGAGAATATATTCTGTGTTGAAAAACAGTTAATTTCTCTGCTTTCTATTGTACACCAATAAAAGTACTGTGCGACAAAATTTTTAATTAAGAAGCTTTACGGAAACTGTGAGCGAACAAAATACTGCCTAACATCTGAAGGACATAACTACATATCAAATGGAGTTATATGCGTTTGTATAACGACATACATTCAATTCCAAAAATAGCATGCCGTAAATGACGAAAACTGCTTTTTCTCTATGACGTCAAAAGGTGACAGAGAGATTTCACACGTACAAAGAAAAGGGGACATAACTCCGCTATGCTTAGCTCTAGTTTGTTGTAACTCAGGTCACTTGGTGAGAATTAGCTGTGGGTAAGGACAATGTATTTTCGTGGTGTTTTGTTCAGGAGGAACCAAACTATTCCAACACAAATATCGATATTGAAACTGTACACGTTTAGTTATAAAATATACCCATAAGAAATTATGAAATCGTACTTCATTAAAAAGGAGTTAATAGAGAAATGGATGGCCTTATCTAACCTATAACTTAGTCCTTAGATTCCAACATTCTCCTGATTGTGTAAGTGTAATTTGACTAATGTTGCATCATTATTAATGGAGCACATGCCTTATCATCAAATGTAATGAAATACCCGAAAAATAACACGATTCCTTTTGACGTCATGGCTGGTTTCATGTCTTTGATAACGTCGGAGAAAGACGACACTTGTATTTTGATTAATATATATCTCCCCTAATTTTCTTTCATGGTATGGAAAATCTCGATGTGTGGAACGGAATTTGACGCTTTTTCGACACAACATAAAATTACTGCTCTCACCAAGCTAATAATGTCTTGAATATGTAAACAATTAGATAGTTTATCGTGTATCTTAATTGGACAAGACACGCACCTGTTTAGCATAAATTTACGTAATAAAATTCCCAAAAGAATATTTTAAAACAACCAAACATATATTCAATATTGGACATATATTTGTTCATTATTATGTTATTATTTCTTACACAATAAAAGATGCAAAGAAAGCTCTATTGGTATAGAATTATCAGGATAATCGTATACGGTTGAACCAACGGGGTACCTGGCATGGGTTTTATTTTTATACATTTTACAATTCCTGGAGAAATAAAGTAAACTGTTTACTATCCTGTGATCACAATATTGACAAAAGAATGAAACCATTGATTATATAATGCAAAACGAGAGGAATAATTCGTAAATTGTTTGTGACTAACGCGCACCTGGCGAATCGTAAGATATCACTTTTCTCTCTATCTAACGACATAAAAGACAATTCCAAGACCAAGACATTATAGAAATGTGTGCATATATTTTACCGAAAAATATTATCCATTTTGTTAAAGTAATATAATCAGTTATAAAATAAAATGAAACGGCTATTCATGGACATTGGTTATATGATCTTATAATATTGACTTATTACACATCCAAAGAAATACGTACATGCTGCAGTTACATTTACACTTCATCTTGTAACACTTGTCCAAAGGAAATAAGAAATATCGTAGTCGACACTATAAACCTATCACATTCTTATGTAAACAATGTTCAAACAAACAGGAGATTATCAAAGGTTCGTTCATACATGTTGTGGCCTATATGTACGTATGATTTCATTTTGAACATTGACAAATATCCAAAGTAAAATTAATTGTGTGAAAAAATGTATAAAAGACATGCAAAATATACACCATAACTGAAACTGTAAACAGCATGATACAATGATCGTGTGCACTCTCATTCAAGGACCTTCACCTCAATGAAATTACCAAATATGTACAACAATGTTGACGTATGACATCACTACCTGTGACCCACTTTTACAAAATGGCGTGTACACTGTCAACAGTACGCGGGATTGTACCAGGGGACTTTCGTTGATTCAGGGATCGTATAAACATAAATGTGACATGTAAGTAATCAGAAACATTCTGACAATCTATGTACTGTTGTTTGTTGTCATAATTTTCATTGAAACAAACGGAAATAGTCAGAAATTCTGATAAATACCGTTGTCGTTGTGCGTGATTTTGCGTCAGTCATGGCGTCAACCAGAACGGTAACTTTGACAACTTCTGTTGAAAATATCAAATCATTGCAATGTATCTATTTGAAATTCCCTAATTCTTCCTACGATTCTCTTCCCATGCATATTCTGAAAATGTTGAGCCTATATCTTGAACGAATAGACGAATGGATAGCTCAAAATAGGAAAAAATTCTACACTGTGTAAAATCTGAATTTTGCTTTGTTTACATTTCAAACAAGTGCAGTTTTTCGAGGACAGCGTTCGTTTTCACACCTAACATATTTTGCTTGATTTCATCCAGCCACTTTGTATTGGTGACAGAGACCATTGGTCATTTGATCCTAAAATGTATGAGGAATTCAAGGATGTGTGTATGGCAGCTAAGTTTGACATATACGCGATGTTACAGGCGCCTCATAACCGGTGTACCTGAAACGTGATTTTGTGAACACTAGCCAATATGGCGGAAAGTTCACTTCGGCGTTCGTGTTTGCGTATTTTCCAAAACATTCTAAACGATTCTCGGGTTATGGGAGACGTTTTGGAATGATCATTGGTGGTTTCATAAAAGACAGATACCCGTGATCACTAATATGCTATTTTTGAAATTCATTTCTCCGAGTAGATATCCTAAATATAGATTTCAAAACATGCTGTAAATAACGCCGTGAGCGGTGATTTAGTAATGTGTAAAAAATGGCGACATTTACAATGTACCTCATTTTCAGAGGTCATTTTCAGTACTTTTGCTTGGCCTAAAATGCAAGTGGATGATATCACAGAACAGGAAATGTCCCACCTTATTCAAAATTGTGAAGTGTATTTGTGTTGGTGATGTATTTTGAATTTTATTCGACTTCAAAGTGAAGGTTGTAGAGGAAGGACATATATGTCCCTCTGGCATCCAAGGGGTTAACGCCGCACTCTGCAATATTCCAGCTATATGACGGCGGTCTATAAATAATCGAATCTCGACCAGACAATCCAGTGATTGACATCATGAGCATCGATCCACATAATTGGGATAAGATGACATACATAAAAAAACTAAGTAAGCGAGCCCGACCACCCGTTAGTCGCCTCTAACGACAAGCAAGGATCTTCCCCGGTCAACCACAGTAGATCTATATTGTAAATATGTATACATGATTGGAAATATCATTTTTAATGACCCATCGTATTCAACAAGGCCTAAGAAAAACCGAGCTACTTATTCCTGTGGATCCACTTACTGGGAGATATGCGCAATGCAACATTTTGTATTGACAACACACGTTGAGAGTTATATATTTAACATGTTCAGGGACATTGTTTTTTTTTAAAACTCCTGTCAGTTGTATGTTTTAGATAAACAGATACAAATTGTACCATGGAAAACTTAATAAAACACACAAGACTTCCCACTGAATTAGGATGGGGATAATTGAAGCTTGAAAACCATGTTTGACCCTTTATTTATCATTTAACAACAATTTGTTGTCCTGTCCCAGTGTGTATGATATGGGTGTCCCAGTAAGTTTGATATGGGTGTCCCAGTATGTATGATATGGGTGTCCCAGTATGTATGATACGGGTGTCCCAGTATGTATATGGGTGTCCCAGTATGTATGTATATGGGTGTCCCAGTATGTATGATATGGGTGTCCCAATAAGTTTTATATGGGTGTCCCGGTATGTATGATATGGGTGTCCCAATAAGTTTTATATGGGTGTCCCCGTATGTATGATATGGGTGTCCCAGTATGTATGATATGTGTCCCAGTATGTATGATATGGGTGTCCCAGTATGTATGATATGTGTCCCAGTATGTATGATATGGGTGTCCAAATATGTATGATATGGGTGTCCCAGTATGTATATGGGTGTCCCAGTATGTATGATATGGGTGTCCCAGTATCTATGATATGTGTCCCAGTATGTTTGATATGGGTGTCCCAGTATGTATGATATGGGTGTCCCAGTATGTATGATATGTGTCCCAGTATGTTTGATATGGGTGTCCCAGTATGTATGATATGTGTCCCAGTATGTTTGATATGGGTGTCCCAGTATGTATATGGGTGTCCCAGTATGTATGATATGGGTGTCTTGGCAGCTGTATTTAGCACAAACTCGTATTCTTTGATATTATCAACCTGTAGAGCAAGTAATGAAAACTAAAAGGAAAGCAGTAAAATACTACAATTCCCCACCGAGATGAGAGGACACACAGCCTCCAAGGTTAGACATTCAAATACCTGCTGTGAGATCTATTTCCTGTAACTACTACTCATTTATGAAAAATATATTAAAACTCTGAACCTTTTTCAGTTTCCAGTAGAAACTAACATTTTTAGTCCACTAGTCCTAGAAAAATGACAAATTTCTACTGCTTACAGTTTGGCAAGGACTACAGAACTAGTGCCAATTTCTAACACTGGTTTCCGTGAATAATTTATTTTGAAAGATTTATTGTATTCAGGTGGCCATGTGGAGTCATCAAGAATCTTACTCGAGGCTGGGGCGTCCATCGATATCTCTGATGTGAAAGGTCAGACGCCATTGTTTGTAGCAGTGAAGAACAACCATTATGACTGTGCTCTCCTTCTCCTCCAGCATGGAGCAAACCCCGAAGGCAGTGAAGAGAATGTTGCCACACCCCTCTACACAGCTGCCATGAATGGCTTCCTGGTCATGGTCAAGGTAAGATAATTCTCTAATTAAAGATCCTACAGGACCTTTGAAAATGACCTTCTTGCTTTGTAGTAATGGTCACCCTTCTTACTGTATTGGTCAAGCTATCCACAATGTTTAATGTTACTGTAGGCAGTCATAATATTATGAATAACTCACCCAGCCCCTTAATCACCATATATATATATGTGACTAACCATGAGATTAGGGACCTTTTGGAGGAAAAGTCACATTTTGACTTTTCATTATATTTTAGAACTACAGCATTTTCGGTACACAAAAATACAATTCACAAGCTTCAATTCATATTTTTGACAGAGATACGTGACATCACACATGGCTATATTCACTGGGGGGCACGGGTGGCCCAGTCGTCTAAGGAGCCGTGATTCGCTGTGCAGAGTTGCATCCCTTGGGCACGCCAGAAACCTGTGATTGTGGGTTCAAATCCTGGTTTGCCCCGATTATGTTTCTAGGTTTGTCGGGGCGGTCGGGTAGCCTAGTGGTTAAAGCGTTTGCTCGTCACGCCGAAGACCCGGGTTCGATTCCCGACATGGGTACAATGTGTGAAGCCTATTTCTGGTGTCCCCCGCCGTGATATTGCTTGAATATTGCTAAAAGCGGCGTAAAACCAAACTCACTCACTCACTCACTCTAGGTTTGTCAGCACCATACCCGTGCTCGTGGGTTTCACCGAAGTGGTAAACGTTGGAGACCTGCATTACTTCAGGCTTTCCTCCCACATTAAGCTGGCACGCCGTGATATAACTGGAATAATGTTAAAAGCGGCGTTAAACCAAACTCACTCACTCACTATAATAACTGATGTAAGTTGACGTCAAACATCTTTATGACGTCACAGCACAATTGTATCGCAGCACCCATAAGGTCCCTTTTCTCCTGGGGTGGTCACATATAATGTAATTTTTGCTGTTTAAAAGGGAAGGGAGTTAACTGACAATAAACACCCAGTTTCTACCCGTGAACAATATGGATTTCAACATGGAGATTTCGGTTAAATGCAGGATTTGCAAAGCATGTGTACTGCCACCTGGGCGTCGACCGATATTTTCCAAATCTTTTCATACTTTTAATCAAGGTGCTCAAGTGATTTGATGCACTTTGCAAGGTAAGGCCCGTTTTATTACAATATAGATCTTGAATAGCGATCATATCGTCTGGAGTGGGTGCCGCCATTTTGTTTGAAGCAAATGCAAATGAATGTGAGGTCTAATCTGAACAATAGGAGGGATATAGACATGATAGAAGGGACATAACTCGTAATAGCCACTGGTGGCTCTGATCGAGCACAGAAATTCCAGGCTAGTTTGGCAAGGGTGGAAACTGGACTCAGTCAGTTAACGTCCTTGCCTTGGGAAGACGGTAAGGTTGAATAGCTCCTTCGCAACTTACTCTTGTAAGAGGCAACTTAATGTATTCTGTGGTCTGACTCGGTGACATGGTTGATTGTGTGTTATCTTCCCCTAATAATGTGGATTGCTGCTTATAGTATCAATCACTGATCCAAACATATTTCCAGGCCTTGTCATATCATGCATATGGTTGGAATATCATGAATATTGCTGAATGCATTCTTAATCAACAAACAAATGTAATACATAGTAAGGATAGGATTTATGGATGAACATCATCTTTATTACAATTAAGAACGATGTTTCAGTGTAGGTTCTAACACTGTTATCAAGCAAGCAAGTGTAAGAATACATGTATAAGAACTGCTTTTTTTCAGATCTTGATACAATTTGGTGCAAATGTGACGTGTCAGAATGTCCGAGTTTTTCGTCCATTCAGCATGGATCCCCTCCAGATAGCCGTAGCATACCAACAGTTTGAATGTGTCAAACTCCTTCTGCGGGCCGGTGCCAACGCACAGAGCAGTACACGGGAGGCAGCTCCCTTGTATCACATCGCAGTGAAGCAGAGGTGTGCAGTGGAGTTCCTGCAGCTGCTGTATGAGTTCGGAGTGTCCATGTACACGAGAGACAATCACGGCAAGTTTCCCTGGCAATATGACTTGTCTGGGTACCCTGAGGAAGAGAGACACAGGGTCCTTCAATCTTTCTGCACAATACGAGGTATGCACTCCACACACATATTCTTTCTCCAAAAAATTAATTATTCTCAGTGAATTTATAGATGACAATCTCTGGGACACTCAGGGCTCCTTGTCTGTTTATGAGGCACAGGTGCCCAAGTGAATTGAGGTGCTGCAAGAGTTACATCCCTTAGGCCTGTTAGGATGTCAGGACAACTAATCAAGGTTCATATCCCATGTGTTTTTCAGTACCAAAGCCTTTCTCATATGTTATACTAAGTGGTACACCAGTGATGTAACTGAAATAATGTTCAAAGCTTCATTTGACCCAACTCACTCCATCACTTTTGTCTGTGAAGGATGTAAGTTTTTTACATTTATCGATTCATATTGATATATTTCATTTCAAAAGACACCAAATAGTCTGTCTTCCAGACACTAGGGAATAAATTACGAAAGTGTGTGACGTGGCTTGTTGTGTTCAATGGTCAATGTTCAAGCTAACATTCACTGGTTTGTTTTCACCAGGCTCAGTTACGTACCAGTTGTAGTGATATGGCTGTTGACTGCAGTATAAACCAGACTCCATTATTTACCAGTTGTTGTGATATGACTGTTGACAGCTGCAGGAATCAGTAACCTATGTTTGTTGACTAAAATGCATTGTAACTTGTCATTGTTCCCCATGGATCATTGCTCTTGCTTTCAGTCACTGGTTTACCTTGTCCAGCCTTATGTTTACAACTGTAATATTGCTGACTGTTATATTAAACAACATGCAATTACTCACTGTTTCAGGGGAGCCCCGCAGTCTCAAGTCCAGCAGCAGACTGTGCGTCCACCACACTTTGAGTCGGGCTGACCGCCTGAGGAGGCTGGACACCCTGTGTCTACCCAGCACATTGCTCGACTACCTCGCATATCATGACATACACAGATGATGACATACACAGATGATGACATACACAGATGATGACACACACAGTTGATGACATACACAGATGATGACACACACAGATTGAACACACAGATGACATACACAGATGGCACACAGATTATGACATACACAGATGATGACATACACAGATGATGACACACACAGATTGAACACACAGATGACATACACAGATGGCACACAGATTATGACATACACAGATGATGACATACACAGATGATGACACACACAGATGATGACATACACAGATGATGACATACACAGATGACATACAGATGATGACATACACAGATGATGACACACACAGATGATGACTTACACAGATGACACACAGATGATGAACATACACAGTTGATGACACACACAGATGACACACAGATGATGACATACACAGATGATGACATACACAGATGACATACAGATGATGACATACACAGATGATGACATACACAGATGATGACACACACAGATGATGACATACACAGATGACACACAGATGATGAACATACACAGTTGATGACACACACAGTTGATGACACACAGATGATGAAATACACAGATGATGACATACACAGATGATGACACACCCAGTTGATGACATACATAGATGCCACACACAGATGATGACACAAATGACATACATAGATGACACACACAGATGATGACATACATAGATGACACACACAGATGATGACACAGATGACATACACAGATGATGACACACACAGATGATGACATACACAGATGATGACATACACAGATGATAACACACACAGTTGATGACATACACAGATGATGACACACACAGATTGAACACACAAATGACATACACAGATGGCACACAGATTATGACATACACAGATGATGACATACACAGATGATGACATACACAGATGATGACACACACAGATTATGACATACACAGATGACACACAGATGATGACATACACAAATGATGACATACACAAATGACACACAGATGATGACATACACAGATGATGACATACACAGATGACATACAGATGATGACATACACAGATGATGACACACACAGATGATGACATACACAGATGACACACAGATGATGAACATACACAGATGATGACACACACAGATGATGACATACACAGATGACACACACAGATGATGACACAGATGACATACATAGATAACACACACAGATGATGACACAGATGCAAACACAGATGATGACATACACAGATGATAACACACACAGTTGATGACATACACAGATGATGACACACACAGATGATGACACAGATGGCATACACAGATGATGACACACAGATGATGACACACAAATGATGAAATACACAGATGATGACACACACAGATGATGACATGCAGATGATGACATAAACAGATGATGACATAAACAGATGATGTCATACACAGATGACACACAGTTGATATACACAGATGAAGAGATACGCAGATGATGGTATACACAGATGATGACATACACAGATGATGGTATACACAGATGATGACATACACAGATGGTGACATACACAGATGATGGTATACACAGATGATGACATACACAGATGAAGACATACACAGATGGTGACATACACAGATGACACACAGATGATGACATACACAGATGATGACATACACAGATGATGGTATACACAGATGATGACATACACAGATGATGACATACACTGATTGTGACATACGCAGATGATGACATACACAGATGATTACATACACAGATGGTGACATACACAGATGATGACACAGATGACATACACAGATGATGACACACACAGATGATGACATACACAGATGATGATATACACAGATGATAACACACACAGTTGATGACATACACAGATGATGACACACACAGATGATGACATACACAGATGATGACACACACAGATGAAGACATACACAGATGACACACAGATGATGACATACACAGATGATGACACACACAGATGATGACATACACAGGTGACACACAGATGATGACATACACAAATGACACACAGATGATGACATACACAGATGACATACAGATGATGACATACACAGATGATGACATACACAGATGACATACAGATGATGACATACACAGATGATGACATACAGATGATGACATACACAAATGACACACAGATGACATACACAGATGATGACATACACAGATGACATACAGATGATGACATACACAGATGACATACAGATGATGACATACACAAATGACACACAGATGATGACATACACAGATGATGACATACACAAATGACACACAGATGATGACATACACAGATGACATACAGATGATGACATACACAAATGACACACAGATGATGACATACACAGATGACATACATATGATGACATACACAGATGATGACATACACAGATGATGACACACACAGATGATGACATACACAGATGACACACAGATGATGAACATACACAGATGATGACACACACAGATGATGACACTCAGATGATGACATACACAGATGACACACCCAGTTGATGACATACATAGATGACACACACAGATGATGACACAGATGACATATACAGATGATGACATACACAGATGATAACACACACAGTTGATGACATACACAGATGATGACACACACAGATGATGACACAGATGGCATACACAGATGATGACACACAGATGATGACACACAAATGATGAAATACACAGATGATGACACACACAGATGATGACACACACAGATGATGACATGAAGATGATGACATAAACAGATGATGACATAAACAGATGATGTCATACACAGATGACACACAGTTGATATACACAGATGAAGAGATACGCAGATGATGGTATACACAGATGATGACATACACAGATGATGGTATACACAGATGATGACATACACAGATGGTGACATACACAGATGATGGTATACACAGATGATGACATACACAGATGAAGACATACACAGATGGTGACATACACAGATGACACACAGATGATGACATACACAGATGATGACATACACAGATGATGGTATACACAGATGATGACATATACAGATGATGACATGCACAGATGATGACATACACAGATGATGACATACACAGATGACACACAGATGAAGACATACACAGATGATGACATACACAGATGATGACATACACAGATTGTGACATACACAGATGATGGTATACACAGATGATGACATACACAGATGACACACAGATGAAGACATACACAGATGATGACATACACAGATGATGACATACACAGATGATGACATACACAGATGGTGACATACACAGATGATGACATACACAGATGAAGACATACACAGATGATGACATACACAGATGATGACATACACAGATGATGACATACACATATGATGGTATACACAGATGATGACATATACAGATGGTGACATACACAGATGATGACATACACAGATGATGACATACACAGATGATGACACACGCAGATGATGACACACGCAGATGATGACACTCGCAGATGATGACATGAGTCATCTGTCTGAATGTATTAGATGGTACTATGCATCACCAACTTCAATAATGTCTTGACATGGTGCTCAGGTGAAATTTACCTTTTTGGGTACACATACAAGTATGTTTCTTTATTGACGAACAGGTTTCATAGGGGGAAGTTTTGAACCATTTCACTGTAAGGAAGAAGTTTTAAGAACTTACTGAAAGTTATTGTCAAGTAATTATGAACCTGTTCATGATGTCTTCACCTGTAGCATTATCTATGTACCAAACCTTATTGGACTGTATGAATTCTCTCTGCAGTAAGACAGCATAAGGGGAGATAACTGCACAAACCATATCTCTTGTGTGTAGTTGTCTGTTGACAAATAGATCTTCAGTACAACATATTTAATGTAAGAGCAGACTAAAATGAGGAATCGGTGGTTACAATGTGTAACATGGCATATTGTGTCATCAGTCTTGACAGTGTAGGGCTTTGCTCATGCCATTAGCCATTGGTTCACCTTGCCCTTACTTGCTTGATACACAGGTTGCCCTAGGCATATCAGTCGGCTGTTTAGAGGTGTGCCAGAACTTTACGATCATGGGCTCGAATCTCATCCTGATAATGAGTCATGTTTTTCAGTACCATACAATGCCTTTGGGTGTCACCATTTATGTAATAAACATCCAAGATTATGCATCATTGCTTTCCATAGGACCAACATATATTACTGAATGTCAGTTTACAGACGATTATTGTTGACATGATCATGGTATTTTTATTTCTGACACGAACACATCTGCGTTCATAGTGATAGAAATAACTTAAAGAGATGTTCGAAGATTTCTTAATTTATACATATCAGGTCATAAGTGGCAAGGACAGCATAAAACCATCTTCATGAGGCAAGAGACTTAATTATAACTGACTGTAAAAGTCCAGTTTCCATCCTTTGAAAAAAAATTGTGGTCATTTAAAGTTTGATTGTAAATTTCTTGATATTGTTATACAAACTTTCGAGTGAGTGTTCAGTTTATCAGAATAATGAACTTTTGTTCTATTTTATATAATATACACCTACGGTTTTTTCCTTTGTATCTAAAAGAGACACAAGGCTCAGTCAGGTGTTAAAAATATATTTTTAAAAGTCATTTTAATTTTCCCAGTTACTTGCCAAGGTCAGCAGATCGGTAATATTCTTAACAAAAAAGTTCGGGATCACAATCATTTTGGGGATTTTTTGTCGGGAAGACTGAGCACACAATTATCCCAAACAATATTCATGATCCCCAATATTATTTGTTTAGTATATATGATATGCACTATGACAAAGTTTAGGAGCTCTATCTCAGAATGTGTTCATCAGTAACAGGACGACTGTTTGTAGTCCAGAGTGCAATATTTTAGTGTGTTTTTGTCTTTGTTTTTTGGAGTATGGACAGGATTTGAGGAGTAGTGCACCTGATAATAGATTATACTGCAGGTGCATCAAATGTTGAATGGAGGTGGTGTTCCCTGTTTTGTGTCTAGTTTGTCTGAAGAAGGAGATTATGTTCTCATAACGTTTTGTTTATGGTAA